CAATACCTATTGATTTTTTAGTATAGTCTCTAGTATCATATATATTATAAGCATTAATGCTATTGTCAATACTATTATTAGTTCAAAAGATAAGGTATTCTTTGGCTTTGATTATATGATATAAACCTCATGTTTGCTAGTTATAGCTCAATGGCACCTAATTCTCAACATATTCAATGCCACATCACAAATAGTATCACTATCAATCATCACAATAGCACTAAAAACTGTTGACACAATCCTTCTCTCTTTGATCTTTACAATTGATTAGAAATATTATAATTGATTGATTTTTAATAACTTTTGTATACAAAATAATTATTTATATGTCTAAATATTTTCTACTATAAATAAAAATCAAATTTTTCTACCATAGTAATATAAAATTCTATGTTTATTTGTGTTGTTTAGGCCTTTATTAACCCACCTTATTTGTAGCATGTTCATTGTATACACATGGCCTTAGCTTGTCCAACCAAGTGCTTTGTTGAAATCTAACTATGGCAACAATTAGCAAAGTACTATCATACCATCATCACTCATGGAATTTATGAATGTTGCTATAGAGAAAAAATCACCACATTGATTATCAATCCATCAATTGCATCTATCTACATTTAGACTAATTAAATTCTAGCTTCCCTTGTTGCCATCTTTGACAAAAATATCATCTAATTCACCTTGGCAGCAATATTAATATTGATTTCAATGATGCAGCATAGCTAACTTTTATTACAATGTTGACTACTACAACATATGATCCAATATGCATTCCAATTGTAGATTAACCATAATTTATGTCTAAAATGTGAAATATCTAACTCAATATTAATTTAACTATTAATTGGTGATATTGTGTCACCAAGTTGGTTCATAAAAACTTAGATGTATTCAGCACTAAGCCAATAGATCTCACCAAAATCAAGCTATTAGAAGATGATATTATCACCAACATTGCACCAATTCACCTAGTTGGATATAGAAAAAGCATCAAAAAACATAACACAATTAAAAAAAAAAAATTAGAAGTTATTAGACATAAATATAATTAGTCCATATTTCTTTTTGTAGGCATCACTAGTGCTTCTAGTTGAAAAGAAAGATAGTAGTATAAGATTCTATATTGATTTTAGATAATTAAAAGTTATCACCTAAAAAGATATATATCCACTATTACAGATCAATGATATTTTTGATCAACTTTAAGGCACCACTAAATTCTTTTCAATTGACTTCATCAATGGTTTTTAGCAAGTATTGCTTTTTTAAACAACCAAAGAAAAAATCGCATTTATGTGCTAACAATGATTATTTTAATTTAATACAATGTCCATAGAGCTATGTAATGCAACACACACCTTTTAACATTTAATGGTTGTGATGTTGGATAAATTGGATTAGAAATGGGCCCTAATATACATAGTTGATGTTAATATATATGGAATATTGATTCTTATTTCATCAACTTCACACATATCTTCACTTACATGAGAATTGATGTGCTTAAGCTCAAAGAAAAGAAGTGTGTAATCGGCCTACCAAAGTTTACTTATCTAGGCTATATAGCTTTAACAATAAACTTACATTTTGATTATGCCAAAGTAAAAAACTATTTCATAATTTTCCATATCTATTAATTTAGAGTGCATGCAATTCTTTGTTAGATTACTTAACTACTACTAACAATTTGTGATAGATTTCATAGTCACTACTATACTACTCTATTGACTTATGAAAAAGAACATAGTCTTTGTATAAAGTAGAATGGAGCAATTTGCTTTTGAAAATCTAAAAATTAATCTTTGTTCCACTTCTCTCCTAATCTATCTCCACTTCTACTTATCATTTATATTATAGACAAATATGAGCTATAATATTGTTGAAACTATCTTGAGCTAGAAACTTCACAAAGTCAAATATATAATGGTCTATGCATCTAAGAGACTTTCTAAAGTAGAAAAGAACTATGGTATTCAAGAATCTAATGGATCTTGGAACATCACCATACCAACATAATATTATTTCCGTAAGGCAAAAAAAAGATGGCAACAAAACAAAGTTTGAAAAGATGAATTGAATGTCACCTTGCAATTAAAGATATCAAAGAATAAACATTTTCTTGATTGGAGGAGTGAAGTACCACACCACGACTCAATTTTACTATCGTTTCAATATATTAGATGACCATATATATGGTCATTATATATCTTATATTTGATCCAAATATACTTGAGGTATATATTAACACCTTTTACATGTTAATAAGATACTTCATTGTAAGAATCCACTCTATACTTATAAGAAGTTTTTGAAGAAATTATTTAAATCATGATGAGTTTTATTGTTGTAACAATTTAGCTTGGATTTTCACAAAAGAAGCTCGCAAAGATAAGCACTTTTAATCTAGTCTCTAATAAGAAAAAATCCTTGATATATAATATAAGTACTTGAAAGTGAAGCTGCATTATTTGATGCTTTTGTAGAAGCTTGCCAGACTGACTTAATTATCATCGATCTAGACAAAATTCTAGCCAAAAAGATGAAATATCATCTTCTTCAATACCTCACATGAGATAGCACTTTTTTTTACAAAAAGACTAATCCAAAAGTAATTTGCATCCTATAAGTGTTGAAGATTTCTAATTTTTTTAAAATTTTGGAGTTGTTTCATATGGCACATACATTGGGGCACTTCACAAAATAACATACACTTAAAGAGCTACAAAAAGTATACTATTGAATCATAATAATTGGTAATGTAACTTATTTTATTTGTCGATGCTTCACATATCATATGAAGCATATCCATAGCAAGAGCACTACACTACACATATTAACTTGTATTTCTATTTTGAAATCTTTTATACAAATTAAGGTCGATTAAATGGATCTATTAAAGAAAACAATGGATGGTCATTGATATGTGATTTTTGCTACTTATAATATAATGGTTTGATCAAATGATTCAACCAAATGCTTTGTGCTCTCATTAAGAAGAATGGCAAGTATAATGAACATTGGCTTACAATACTATTGGCAATTGTTTTTGCATCCCACACCACTGTCCATTCAAGTAGATATTTTTCACCCTTCAAAATGTTGTATGCCAAAAGCCACAACTTTCTATAGTCTTAATAGATGCAAACTTGACTATTGTAGAGTCTATCAATTTGTATGATAGGCTAAATAGACTACTGTAATATTATGCTTATCTTAGCACATAAGTACATGAAAATATTAATAAAGCGTAGCGCTTTAAGAAAGAATGACATGATAGGAAGGTTACATACACACGAGAATTTGTTGTAGGAGATATAGTCTTATGTTGTAAGGAAAAACAATGTAAAAAAATATACAAATTTTGGGCCAAATTTATAGGTCCCTATTGGATCACCACCATTGATGAGGACAGCAACACTTTCATCTTTAGACAATTTGAGCTGAAACAACACTAATTTTATTTCTAGTTGCAATCTATATTATAACCTCACCAATATCAACCTGGTAAGTTGGCACATACAATACACACCAAAGTAGTTTTTTTTGCAAAACATTACTGTAGCTCAACTCTTCCCAAAGAGGGAGTCCTTCTGTATGTAGAGATAAGAATTGGGCTGAGCACAAATCTTGTGATGCCCAATGAAAACAAGAACAAACCGCACTTATAAGTTTATAACAAGCATGTTGCCCTCATGTATTTTGATATAAAAATTGTTTTGCTATACTACCTCAGCAAATATTGAGGTGTGCATTGTTTGAGTTGGCTACATATATGTTTGCTTTGTATGATGAATTTCATCTACGGATTCCTTAAATCTTACTGATGAGTTGTCATATCTCTCAGCTCAAGCCTGCCTCAAGCAGGGTACCAGCCTTTTGAATATTGCCAAGTCAAGCTAACTTAGTCCTCTCCCATTAGTTGAGACAACAATAGTGACTCGCCAAACTTTTCCCAGTACACCCTCATGTACATGTTCACATCTTTGTCATCTTGCAGTGGTGGAGGTTGTGGTGAAGCATCAATTTATTTTTTTAAGGCTCTCCAGATGTGAGAGTGTCTGCACTCACACATCATCCTGAGGTTGATTAATTTTGAATCAAATTCAAACTGAAAGTACTGCCAGTAACCACAATTTGATTGAGATGGGTGCAACCTGCAAATGTGCAAAGGATTAATTGCACCAGGGTGATTAATTTGATGTAATCACATGCAACATTGTGGCTTAAAATAGGTTGTTGGGTGCCCATGTCTATGTATCTGAGATGTTGGATTTTCTGTGACTGCAATAAACTTTTCAGCTACATATTCTTTGCACACAAATGAATGTTGCTCTGATGATTTTATTTTATAATATTTTATTTTTTGAAGACGTCTCTGAATAAATACAACGAAAATAATATTAGAAGTGTAGAAGTTGTTCGTTTTCTGTTTGCATCATTACATGTTTTAAGAAGACTACCCATAATGTTGTATGTTTTATATATTTCTTTGAAATTTCTGAAGAATTGATTTTACAATTTTTTATGCAGTGAACATTAATTCTTGCCACATATGTGTCAATGTTAATTTACCAGCATGCTGTTCTATATAAATGCGTTGCTGCAACTAGAAATAAAACTAACATAATCATTATTTTCAAAATAAAAGGACGCAACAGTTACGTTCATGAATGAATTCTTAAATCTTGAAAATCTAAAAAGTAAATATAATCTTTGCTTGAAATATTTTCCAATAAAAGAATTAATTTACAAAATAATAATAATAATAAATTACACCTAATATCTCCACGTGAAAATTTGCTCTTTCTTTTTGCACATAAAATACTTGGGAATCATCCCAGCCATCCAGCAGACACACACCGTGAAAGGGCCCACACGGACTTGGACGGCCTAGTCCTGGCTCGCAAGAGGAAGAGGGGTCAGTGGAAACAGGGTCGGAAGAGGGGGTCTTCGGGTGGCGGAGACCGAAGAATTAATGGACTTCGAGCCTCGGCCCCAGACTCTCAAGAATCCGGCATGAAATTGCGGCTTTCGCTGCTGCTGGGCCTGCAATGCAATGGACCTCACTCCGGTATCTCTCTCTCGCTGTCCACTTGCCTTACGTTCCCCGCCTTGATTAGCTGACGAAGTCGCCTCGTCAAATCCGTCAACGTTCCTGCTGATTTCTACGAGCTCCTGCAGTGACTCAACAGTTCGGTTGCAGACAAGAGTTGGGCTTTGGAGGATTGGCCAATGTCGGCCAGCATAAGTCTCGTGGATCTGGGTGGTGGCTTGATTCGACAGATTGACCCTTCACTGAATGGCGACAATGAGCTGCTGGTGCGAAATCGGTCGTGTTTCATGGCCGAAGTCTTCATTCATGTTTGAGTTTGTAGGAAAGATATTGAGCACTGCCGATGGAACGAGATTTAATACTAAAACTTAGAGAGAGGCATATCGTGAAGTGCACGTAATCTATGCTGTGTTTTTTAAGCCAATTCTTTTGTGGCGATTTGGCAATTTGACTTGGTTAAAGGTTGGTTCTCATGGTTCTCATGGGTTGATGGTTAGGTGGGTCAATTTCAACAAGTCAATGGTTGCCATGCCGTGGCAACGAACCTGTTAGTGGTTCATCCATGCTTGCTGCATAAAAAGGAAAGTGATGCGGTTAGAAATAGCCTAAAACCTTGAGGTTCCCCTAATCAACGTGTTGCTTTGTTTTGGTTATAGCCTCAGAGTTTTCTGCATGTTTTTTTTTCTTTTTCTATTTTTATTCTTTTGAATTTCACCTTTTCCCTTAAAATTAAACCTTGAATTATCGATATGGGGATTTAGCGCAGCTAGCTCTACACTAACTGTCGGTTTCATCAGTTCAATCGGTAGCTGTTACAAAATGTCATCGGAGGGATTCTCTTCATGTATAGACTGGGACTGTGGAATAGGAGACGAAATCGTAAGTTTGCGATGAGGTTGCAGTGATGTGAGCAAGACAAGAAATACGACTATTAAACCCGATGTAAGGCCATTGACTTTGTGGATCTGCGACAAGTGGACCACATCGGCACAATGATGGGACGTTGTATGCATGGACACTTCTTTAAAATTTTGATCATCCCGATTGAGAGAGGATTTTAGCTTCTAGACTGAACTGGGCCTGCGAATCTGCTGAATGATCTGCTTCCCTTTTGACTTTCGCTGCAATAGTGCAAGTGCGGTTGTGGGTCGAAGGTTTTCGTTGCAAGTTGCGAGGCGAAGCAAGCAAAGACTTGTCGGGGTTTGACATTCGCCCAAATATATACTCTGCGAAGAGGCGTGCAAGACTTTGCTGCTAAAGTTTATAAGAGTGGAGGACCGGCCACCGATTGCAAGGTTCAGATGGGAAGAGTTTCGGTGCGCAGGATGTTGGCGTGTGAGTATGCGTTCATCTTGGTGCTGCTGGTGACGACGCCGTGCAGCGCTGCCCGAATCCTGCGAGATGGCTCAGGTAAGTCTTTATCAGGCGCTTTGGTCGGTGTCATGCTTGTGGGAGAGTTGTTCGATGTGAGTTACTTTGTTGAAGCTGGCGATCTTAATATTGAAAACTGGGGCTGGTGGAATCTGGAACGTATGCGCAGCGTCCAATATCTACACTGCTATGCGAGCAGGATTAAGTACAGCACTGTGCCAAGGTCCAAAATTCTCGCAACAAAACCTATGTTGAATCTGACGAGATTGCTGTGATCCCATTGTTTTAGCAATGTCTAGGAAACAGCTCCGTTGAAGAGAGCCACAAAACTGGGAAACTGCTAATGAAATGGATTGATCGACAAACTGGTGATGGTAACGTAAGTCCGTTTGTGCACTGCTGCACAAGAATATTCGCATTGTTTGTCTTATTTAGATTGCGAAGGCATACAACGGCACTCTTGAATTCTCTGGATACCAGTGCATACTTCTAAGTTCCAGTAGCTCAACTTTCAGCTGTTGGTTTTCAGGTGCCCGCTAGATTGGAAGGTAGCGATCGAATGCATAGACAATGGGTTCGCCTTCTGATCGAGGAAATACACATCGACTATGCTGAACCAGCACCAAATCCTAGCGCCCCACACAATGCCACTCCATGAAAGAAATACGACTTTTGTAATTGGTTACGAGGCTTAGTCTTTGTGACAGCCCGGAATGGGCACGCAAGGTCGATGAGTGGACTCGCCTGCCGGTCGAGTGGGGCAGATCACACTAGACGATGGTTCACCCAGCGGTTGTGTGTTTACATGGAATCATATTTTTCTGAATGAACACATTTAGAGACTGTTGACAAAATCAACGACTGTGTATAGTGATGGAAAATTCCACGTGCAAATGTAAGCTTTTTCGGTTCGAGTTTCATCACCGAAGAAGAGTCTTCGAATAGTAAGTCACTCTTGTAACCATTTTTTATTTTGCCACTACAAAAACTTCTCAATGAAATCCAATCAGTACCTAGTTTAAAAAATTAACTCTTCACAAATGAGTTCGCTTTTATCTCTTTTTTGTTTAACTCACAGGAAAACTTTCTTTACAATATAAAATACCTATTTCAGTACAATGTAAAATTAAACGTAAAATTGAAAGACATAGTACACACCATACACTCATTTTGAAAATACTATCACATAGTATTGTTCTTTGTTTTTTAAATCAATATGTATGGTTAAGGCACCACAAACTAACAAATATCCTAACTTTTACACAATGTGCTTTAAAATGGCCCATTGTCACGACAATATGCACCCATTTCAAAACTCGTAATATCGAAACAAGGATTTATGTGTGCGTTGACTACATCGTGTCAAACTCATCCACCTCCACAGATCTCTATCTGGGAATCTGCTCTGAACACCGCAATCGCAACTTCATGCAGTTTTTGCAGTAAAGAGCACCACATTAACAGTTGCACTTATCAAACCACGACGCAACAATCAACAATACAACCGTAGGTTAACTCGTCTAACCGGCAACTATCGCCGATTCTATGTGGCGCCTGCCTGCACAGAACACGTCACACCATTTAGCACTGTACCCAGAGGATCTCGCCACCTCCGGGCTACGCAGGAATTGAGCAATCGCTTCCATTTTGGCTACAAGGCGCTCACTTCTACACATTGCAGCCATGCCCAGTTCGACGGAGGAATCAAGGCACCCGCCATCCAACTCCCTGCCGAGCGTGCTGCGTCACTGATTCGTGGGACTTCACCAGTGGAAGCCGTGATCGGTATACACTGAATACGCCCGAGAACACACTCAAAGGGTCAGCTTGGAACTGGCGTTGCTATCGTAGGGTCAGCGGTGAAATAAACGTCATCAACACACAATCTCAGCATCAAATGCATATTATCAACATCTGTAGGGCTACGCACGGGCAAACCTTCCGCCGTCCGACCCATGCGGGGGCAGTGATTCCGGACTCGCTCATCAAGCCCGCACTCGGAGAAATAGACAAGTCTGATCTACCAGACCCAGTGCTGATTCATGTGGTTACCAAATACACTTGGGCCGGGATAATGCTGCTGCCGCATCGGAAACCTGGATGAACCATCAGACCCACCAGGGCCTCGAACGGAAGTGCACCTCCCTCCCCTTCCGCAACCTCGCCGTTCGAAATCCCAGGCACCGCAGATTCCATATAGGTCGGGTTGAACTGGGCACCCTTCCGCACCGACAGCATTCTTGCCGGCGGCTGAAAGGAGAATGCCAATCTGTGCAGGAGCCACACCGAGACCGCCAGCTTCAAAAAGCTCTCGTAAAACCGGCTCGACGGGTGCCGACCGGCACAGATGTCGTCGCTGTGGTTGAAGTCTCCGAAGAACGCCTCCTCCGTCGACTCGCTCACTATGTGCAAGAACTTCTTGAAGCAGAACTCGCGAAGGAAAGCGCTGTGCGACCGATTGTCCGTCAGCAGTGTCACCGTCTCAGAAACGGTCCTGTGCTTCAAGTACTCCTGAAAGCACGCCTTCGAGTGCTCCTCGATGTTGAAGATCTCGCTCATGCAACTCTCTATGTTGAAGCACTCGCTGTCGAAGTCCAGGAACATCCGGCGCAAAATGAACGACTGCACCAAGAACTTGTAGTCCGACGGTCTCGCCACGATCACCTCCGACTCTAGGCATATCTGCTCGTCCAGGTCCCGAGCTTTCGTCAAATGCTGCTTCAGGTGCGACATGAACGTCCGAGAGAAAGTGTGCGCAGCCTCCTTCACGCCAATAACCGCAGATAGAAGAGTCTTCGAGGAAGGCCCCGTGTTCTCGTTCAAGGAAGGCTTGTACTGGATTCCCCGGGATGCCAAGTGCTCCTCCATCTCGTATAACTGTTCGCTCAGCTCCTCCACCACCCGGTTCAGCTCCTTAATCTCCTCCCTTAGCTTCTCCTCCATCCCCTCTCGCTTCGCCTCTCGCTCTGCAATCTCCTTCGCGTGTGCCTTAACCGTCTTCTTCACGGCTCTTTCCCTCTTCTTCAACTCCCGCCTGTATCGTTCTTCCATCTGTGCCAACTTCCGCGCCCTGTCCTCCACCTCCAACTTGTAATACACCTTCCACTTTTGTAACGAGTCAATCTTCAGCTGCTTCCTCACATTGCTCCCCCTCAACCTGGCAATCTCCTTCTCCATGGTACTCCTAGGACTTACACCGTTCTCGCCGCCCCGGAACTCCACCAAAGATGTCATCGCGTGATCGCCGCCGTTCCTACTTCCACCGTTCGCCTGTGCCGAGCCTCCTTTTTCGCTTAGTTCCAGCTTCATACCATGCAACCTTTCCGTCTGACCCAACGCGCTTGCCGGAGTGTCACTGCTTTGGGACGTCTGCGAGAAAGAAAGGGACATCGATTCGCTGCTCCCAGCCGAAGTTAATTCACCATCCTTGTCCACCATTCCACACTTACCATTCTGAACGTGGCCATTTGCATACATTACGGCACCACATGTCTCTTTCGTCTCCGCAATCCAACTGTGACCTTTCCCATCAACCCCACACATGCCGACAGCGGTGTTCATCTCCGCTTCCGCCACCAATCTGTCGTGCAGCTCCATGGCATCTCTATACAACTCCTCCGCCAGACATTCCGCTTTGCTCAGGCTGTCTTTGTCTGGATCCAATTCATCCTCCCCTGTCTCCGACCCGCACATCTGATCATCGTAATCTTCCAGTCGTCGCGAAGCGTGCGCGTCTCGAGCGCTCCCATCAATCCATGCAGACTCATCCGCAGCCGCGTGCATTTCACTGCCATTTTTTCCCTCAGCATCTGGTCCGGAATACCTTGAGCCACGACCTGACCTATTAACTTGTGAATACCCATTCTCACTGTGCTTGCTTTCCAACTCCAGTGACACCTCTGCTCCATTTCCATCCCTGTTCTGCGACTGGTATTCAACTAGTTCCCTATATTCCCTGTTCAACTCTTCGATCCTGTGATCATTATATGTGCCTTTTGAAGAGATACTGATTACTGGCACATCCGTCACCTTCTTCCTGCCCTTCACATCCTTGACGTCATTTGGGCGAGACTTGGAGCTCGTAAAGTCTACAGCCTTGGTCGCAATGGACGCGCCCGAAACGGCATTATCTCTATTCAACATGTGCGGAAGAGATTCGGGCCGAGAGCTGCGAAACATCATCGCTTCACATGTCAGTGCAGGTCCTCGAACGGTTCACTTCACAGACGGGATATGATGAGTGACGTGCAATTAGTTACGAAACTCATTGTCTCGTTGAGCTTCGCGCCTTGATGGCATCCCATCTCGTTTCCCTCTAGATCTTAAGGTCATTGATATTCCTCGATGTGAAATGTTTAAGAAGACTGGCTCTCGTTGTTCAACCCCTGCATATTGAATATTGCCAACACTCGTGACCATTGCATCCCACTCTGCACACTCATCAAATTAGGGCTGAGGTTCACCTCGGCTGGTTCGAAGCCTTCCACGAGTCCGCCGCTTCAATTGCAGCCTTCCGAGACGCTTCAACTTTCAGTGCCTCATCTTCCATCCACCTTCCCTGCTCGCGGAGACTTTCATACTCCGAGTCCAATGCCTCAAAGTCGGAACTCGCCATCTCATTGCCCGCAGATGCTAACCATTCCATCTCCATTCTCACCTCCGCAGCTCTCTTGTCCTGAGAAAAAATCACAAACAATTCAGCAACGATCAGTGATGCGTATCCATCACTCGCAAGTATCAAGCGTCCAACAACATCGTGACATTCCCGCACATCCACCCCAATGTGACTCCAGCTCACCGATACACACAAATTCATTAATGCACAATCTATATCACCCTGTGCAATCATGTAATGCCTCGTCAAGACAACCATACAAGCTCTGCTTGAAGTCTAAGTTGCTTCTCCGCCTCCGACTCTTTCTGTTCCATCTTCTGCTTCCGCTCTGCAGCGAACATCTTTCTCTTCTGATCAATGGGAATCAACTTCTCCTCCTTGCGTGCCTTCTGTGTCTCTAGTTCCTTGTGGATCTTCTTCAACTCGTCCGGAGCTGATGCGGGCTGCGACACGGAACTAGGCTCCCTAAATTCTCTGGACCCATCCGAGTCTACTTCTCCCTGTAAATGATCGACACACCATAATTCACAATTTTAGGGCTCCAACAATACATGCACAATATCCTCGCAAGAGAATTCCATTGCGGCAAGACAATATAAGTAGAGGTTTAATAATCTGTACAAGGATATCCAGGCCCTGCATCGTGTTGTTGTAGATTTCCCATGTGACGGGTATGTTGTTGATGCGGTACTCGCTCGTGCCACTGCTCGTGATTGCTCTCCCAAACTTTATCTCCTCGCCGCTTGCGGTGCAGTAAACCAGCTTCACAAATGCGATCTTCCCCCTCGATTTCCCGTGCTCCCTGTCGTCCAAACCGGCCCTCTGCACCATACCCTGCAGCTGAAACGACCGCACCCCCAGAACAAAACTGATGGCTTCCACCAGATCGCTTCTACCTGCTCCATTGGAGCTGACGATTGCTGCAAAATTATCAAACGGGCCAACTACCTGGTGACACTTGAGCGACTTGAAGTTGAGTATTTCGAGTCGTTGAATCCTCCCTGAGGCCGTCAGAGCCGGCATTGTGTACCCTTTGCTTATTGTCAGGGTCCACAGCTCCCACTATTCTCTGATTGTGGTTCATGTGCGTCACTCATTCGCATTTCCAACTCAGGTCTTCCTGCCCCCTCTATCGATTGTTAATTAACAAGATCGTCTATCATCACGAAATCATGATCCTGGAGAACCTACGTCTACATTGTATAAAAACTTCATATTTGGCAGCATAAATACACACGATCTTAACCGCATTCACTAAGCATACTAGCTGTAGACTTTCGGAACTTTAGCGAAGAACACTTACAATGTGGAGTCCCAGCGATAAATGCTTACTTTCAATGCCAACAAGATGAAAAAGACTAGCAATTAGAATCAGTTCTGTGAGAACTACAAGACGGGACTTAAGCTTCACGATTTCACCAGTTGCCCCTGCTTTAAATCTAGCAAGACTTGACAAGAAAACTGCACGTCGACGTCCGGGAATAGAATTCATGTGCCATTGACACAATGTCAGGCGAAACACTGCAGCAACACCCAATCTGAAAGTCAACACAGTCCTGCGGGAGTAATTGCAATCTTCAAACTCCGACCACAATTTCTAGCACAGAATAGACTGGACCAGTAGATCAAGTTCATTCTGCATCCCACCCAAATGGAAAAATCAAGCGCTGCGGACCTGCATCAACCGACAACAGATCCTGACTATTCTACGTCGCTCAGATCCAAATCATGTAACCCTCAAAACTGGATCACTTGCACTAGAAGGGTGACTAAGAGCGTTCCTGCGCTAGGATTCGCGGCCTAAACCACATTGCATTGTCCTGCTCCATCCCTGTCTACCGCTGGACAACCAAGGATCCTTCTCACGCCACTGTCCCACAGCGTTGTGGACCACAGCATCACGGCATCGAGTTGCGTCGGCCTCCACCAGGGGGGGGAGGGCGATGGCGCTGGCGAGACAGCGAGAGTGAGTTCCACGGGGGTGGGCTGTTGTTGGCGAGAGGAGCGAGGCGGGAGAAGGACAACGCTGAAGCTTCTGCAGAGTAGTCCGCCGCGGGATTCCGCGTGGATGGTGTTAGCAAGACCCACTCTCGCCATCAATTGTGGTAGATATGTCCGCGCACGATTCCAGGGAACGAGGCACGATTTGAGGGGACGCGAACTGGAGACGGAGGAGGGCACTACTGGATTATTCCTCGCCTCTCGCATGTGCCCTTCATCGCCGCATTCGTCGATTCTCGCTTTTCTTCCATCGCCGCTGCTGCTGCCAATTTCCCTCATTCTCTTCTTCTTCATCGCCCTCGGCCTCATCCTTTCGGGCCTCGATGCATTCTCGTGTGTATATATATATATATATATATCACGCTCATTCATCCATGTCTTCAACTGTGTTTTCATCCATCCGTCTTCTGTTCATCCGTATATGTGTCATTTCATTCGTCTGCGCTGTTCATCTATCACTGTTCGTCTTGTTCTAAGTTCCCTTGGTTTCATTCAGTTAATTATTATGATAAAGAATACTGGAAATAGATGGAAAATACAAAAGGAATTCACTGCAAAATAATTCAAGCACTCTTTGTTTCACTGGTTATTTTTCGGTTCATTGTGAGATGAGAGCCCATTGATTTTTTCACCTAATTACATTTTTAAAACAGATGTATATGTATATATATATATATATATATATATATATTTATATATATATCACTTGATATTAGTGATTTAACTAAGTTTTCTTAGCTATATTCATTTCAAATTCATCAATAATTTTTTATTTTTATTATTTTTATAGTATTAAAGATACTACACTTATAATGTGATGAAAAAATAATCAATTTTTTATAATTAATAAATCGAATACCATTATTAATAAAATATTTATTTTTATATGCTTTGATCAAAAAATAGAGTTTCATCACTTAGATTAACTAAATTTATAATCAAAATATTATGCTTCTTGAAGTTATATTATAGGAAAAAATTAAACACTATTACTAGTAATCTATTTTTACATTGCAACAACATTTTTAATAAGGATAATCACTCAACAAATCAAAAATCATGTGTAATGATCTAATTGAATATTATACACACACATATATATATATATATATATATATATATATAATATTTATTAATATTTAATGTTAAAGTAATTTTAAATCTTAGAGAAAATTTATATTTTTAAAATAAATAAATATCTTCTAAATTATACTATTTTTTCTGCAAATTTCATATAATTTTTATTTTATTGAAGTCTTATACTTAATTACATTATTTTAAGTTTTAATCAACATTTGCAACTAATTTAAATAATGGAAAAAGTTATCTATATATATATATATATAGAGAGAGAGAGAGAGAGAGAGATGTGTGTGTTTGTTTTTTGTATTACTAAGACTATCTAAATATTTAGCTTTTAATAAATAATATTTAGTTTAAAAAAGCAATCTTTTTTGTTAAATTTGTATATCATTAAATTTTCTTTAAAAACTATATATGTATATAAATTTCTAAAAATCCATTGAAGTTTTTTATAGTTAAACTTCTATGGAAATTATTCTAAGAATTGTTTTCAAAAGAAAGAGTGAAAGAGTAAGAAACAAATTTTCAACCTTGTATTGAATTTGAAAAAATATATGAAAAAGGTTGTGTTATCCTTGGTTTTGTTGATTCTTTGTGTAGATATTGTTGGTTTAGTGGACTTCAAGTCTATTAATACCTTAAAATTGTAATATGTTATTTTGCTTTTGTATGAACTATTTAACATATTTTATAACTTTCATATATATATATATATATATATATATATATATATATATATTTTAACCATTTGTTTATGTGTTATGTGTCAAGTTGCATATATAGATTTTTGATAACATACACCAAAATATTATTGTACTTTGATTTTTCATGAAAATTTTAGACATTCTCTTTATTTTTATTATGCCTAAAATCTTAAATATTGCTAAATTTTAAAACTTTAGAATTAAAAATTAAGTTAATATTCTCATTTCAAAAAAATAGTTTATGATTAAAATAAAAAGATCTTAAATTGTAAAATGTACATTTAATAGCAAACAAACAAATTTATGAGAGAAAATTTAATTAATTTATTAATTTAACTTAGACATATGCTATCACTAACAATCTTCTTCTATAAAATAACAACAAAATGTGCAACAAAGAAGGTGGAAAAATATATGTATATAAACATATATATTAGAAAATAAGCAATCACATGAAAACAAGTAAGCAATAAATTATCTGATAAGCATTTTTAATCAATTTTCATAAAATGCATAAAACAAACATTTTATATTATATTATATATTATATTTCATACATATTTTATCATGCATGAAGTAAAGACAATGGTGATTTTTTACACTCATCTATGAACTCATCCAACTTTTTTACCACAATAATTAAGAAAAATGTTTACTTTATTTGGATATTTTAATAGATGCAAAAAGTATAGGAAGATCTAACACCTAAGTTTACTACCAAGAGTCATATTCCATGGACTTTAACTAGATTATGTATTTTCCACTCTACACAAGACATGTGGTGTTCCTTTATTTTAAAATTTGTTGTGATGATGTTATTTTAAAGAAAAAGCTTCGTACAGCAATTAATTTTCACCTCTCTAAAAGTATTTAAGACCGTATTGAGATGTCATTTTGTACCCAAAGTGATACAATGCTAGCACATTGATTATAGGTGCAATATGTTGGTTTCTATATTTATGCATCCATGTTTCTTTAAAAAAAAACACATGTGATATGACAAATTCAAATAATTGAAGTTCATTTTTTTCTCAAACTGTAATTTTTAATAATAACTTTATTGTATCAATCTGGATTGTTTTTGTGATTATTAATATAAATTTCTTGAAAATAACCCAAACATGTTTATATTATCAGTGTATGCTCACTTTATTTTGAATAAGTAAAATCATTTTATTTGAAATAAAAGATAGTTCAATTTCAAGGTGAAGTAATAGAAATACAAATTAATAGAAATACAAATTAATAGAAATACAAATTAATAAAAAAGTGTAGAAAGAAAAATGTTATTCTATTTCTCTGTATTCTAGTATTACTATTATTTTATCTGTAGCATATACATAACATGTTGATAAAATTTCCTCATTGTGTATTTTCTAAGTGTAGATATAAACTTTGATTTAGCCATTTCCTTGTCATGCAACATCAATTCACAAATCTTGTTATTATTTTGTGTGTGGGTATTTAACTAGTACAAACCACACACACACACACACATATATATATATATATATATATATATCCACAGTTTATTTTCTTAGTGTAAAACATTCCCTATAATGTAATGGACTTACAATTTCATTTTCATTTCTACATACTTAAACCATCAATTTATTTTCAAAAAATCAAGTATTTATTTATTATTATTATTTTTATTTTGAGTATTTAAAATTTGTATATGTGTCCAAATTAAAAAATATATAACATTTAAAAAATCATAAATTCAAACCTAATAAAATTAAATAAAAATAATATATTTATTTATGAAATTAACTATTAACGAAGCCCTAATGAAGAAAACTTGTCAAAGTTTATATCTCCACTTAGAAAAACAAAGAGTTTAGAAAAACAAAGCCTGATGAGGGGCTTAAGGCAGCCAGGTTGTGAACAGAAATGGATGAACAAAATACGAAGAGAAACGGCGAACCCGAACAATCATCCATCACACGGATGAATTAGGGTTAGGGTAGAGGGGAAGGTGGAGGAGGGGAGGGACAACAAGGCCAGAACGGTAGCCTCACAGGCCCTCTTTCTCGTTCGCCACCGCGCTTGCAAGGCCACCCCGTCTCCGACCTGGGCCCGATCGCAGCAACAAGCAACCATGGTGGAAAAGACGAAGATCCGTAAGGACGAGGTCGTTACTCGTGAGTACACCATCAATCTTCACAAGAGGCTGCATGGCTGGTACGAATTTTGTCTATTCTCCCCTTCCCCCTTCCCGCACCCCCCTCTTACCTCTCGTTGCAGCTTCGTATCTTGTAGGTTGTGGTTGCTTCTGTCGGCCGGAGCTTTTGTTCGGGATGAGATTGTTAGCTTTGAGGGATCGACGTTAGTGATTATCAATTTGTGGAGTGGAGATTAGTGTGGGTGGTAGTTTCAGTGCGATGTCAAGGGTTTTGGTTTCTGGGCAGTAGCGCATGTGCTGCTTCCCTGGACATTTTCCACGCACTCGGTGTGGTTTTCTCATCCTGGATGTGGGTTTTTGGATGGCTCGCATTGTTTATGAGGATTCTGTGGTTGGCTTTGTCTGCGTGGTTGGACGCCTTTCTGCTGCATTCTCTATCGTTTGGAAATCTCCCCTGATGAAATATTCAGTTGTGGAATATCGCTAGTAGTTCGTGGGGTCCTGTGGAGTGTAGGGAAAGATAAGAGACCGAAGTCATGTTATTGTAGCCAACGTGCACCGAATTTATTCTCACTGATTATGAAACGTTTTCCTTTATAGCACCTTCAAGAAGATGGCGCCCAAGGCAGTGAAGGAGATCAGGAAGTTTGCCCAAAAGACAATGGGAACCAGTGATGTGAGACTTGATGTCAAGTTGAACAAGCACATTTGGAGCCGGGGTGTCCGCAACGTCCCCACCAGGGTGCGAGTGCGTATTGCCAGGAAGCGCAATGATGACGAGGATGCCAAGGAGGAGTTGTACTCTTATGTCTCCGTTGCCGAGGTGCCAGCAGTTGGGTTTAGGAATTTGGGAACCAAGGTCGTAGAGGAGGAGGAATAGAGTTCTTATTCCCCGCCCGTGTTAGAGCTTGCGACATGAAGAAGTACTCGTTCCTATCGATTCGTGTTTTCTTCTGTCCGACGGACATTGCATTTAAGACCTGTAAAAGAGGTAACTCTTAAATCGACTTCTTTCAGGCACTTATCGCCTCCACTGGTGTTCTACGTCTTGTCTACTTGCGTCACTATTTCTCTTCCATCTCTGGGTTTGATTTGGCATGCCTTAGGGAGCAGAATTCTGCGCTTCATTTAGGGTTTGTGTGTTGTAGAGTCTTCTCCACAGGTAATCGACTTGCTAGATTACGAATTGTGTTAGGTTTGATTTTGCAATGGTCAAACTATCTGAGACAAATGCTTTTATGTTGCCATGCCGCTTCTGACGCCGTTTGCACTACATTTGCATGCTAAGAAAATAGGGGTAAATTGTACCAAATGGGTCGAAAGGAAGTTTGTTTGAACATTTTGTTCCTGTTTGTGCGCACTTCCATTCCAAAGCAGAAAGTAGTTCATGCTGGTTGTTCCTTTCGCGCGGTCTTGAAGCAGCAGCATACTTCTGAATTTTTTCACGGTTTTATGTCGCATTTCTCAACAGCTTCCTTTCGCATGTTGGATTTTGAAGGAGTGGTTTTTTTACGATTTTCTTGGATTTCCTATGAGTCTTTGAACAGCTTCATCTTTGGGTTGCTCTGAGTCGTAGCAATTGAGTACTTTTGCTAGTTTGTACGAGAATATATCGACTTGACCTTTTGTAAAGTGTCTAGGGGGATTCAGGCGATAATCATCCATGGTCTTTATAAGTAGCAAATGGAACAAGCTATTAAGTACATATTATATCAAATAATAACATTTCATAAAATTTGTAAACGTAATAATCCTACTTCCATCAAATACTGAAAGTCATCTTCTCATTCAATAGAACAATCCTATCTCATCTATGTTAAAGATATTACTAGGCCAATACTCAGCAATGATCAACAACAAACAAATATAACAACCTCAATGGCTATAATTGTGTTTTTTTAAATGACAGAAGTTAATTAATTAAATTTTTTTTTTATAAAATCAACCTCAAGTATAATAAGATGCTTTGACTTCTCAGTGATAAATCTATTAGAAAGGAACATACAACAGATCCAATACCAAAAGATCCAATTAGCTAGTTTAAAATCTAATTATACTTAATAGACTTAGTATTGGCCCTGGGCTCATAGAATCACTCTATCCTATATGGCAAGATATTAATTATGGTTTGCTATAATGTGGAAGAAGGTAGTTTACTTTGGAGCCTTTGCTAAGTCAAATTTATTGCTTGTTTATTGGATGAGGATTCTTGGCCTTGTATTCACGCATGAAGAAAACTTTGCCAATTGCTGCAGTTTCAAAGGAAGACTCTAGAGTTACACGCCTTTGCCAATGCGGATGTGCCTACATGTCGTTTACATCTGTGTTAATGCCACATTGGACCAAATTCCAAAACCTTTGCTTCAGTGCAAAATTGTTAATAGCCATGGAGATGGATGAAGTCATAATAACTCATGCTGTAGTAGATAGAAAACAATGGATAATGTATTTAATCCTTACAATGTGAAAAACCTATGTGGGTTCGTTTTCATATACTATTTCAATTTTGTTACAAAATATAGTCTAGACATTATTTTAAGTTTTTTTTTTTTTTTTTTTTTTTTTTTTGCATATTTTCCATAATAATGGCATGGGTTGACCTAGTATATCATGTAGTATATGATTATAAGAGCAAAGGTGGGTCAATTTAAGAATCACCTTAGTCAATTGACTAAGGTGAATTTTTGGCAACGACATGTGTATCCAGCAGTATCTAAATGTAGAGGTGAATATTAGGTTACAACTATTAGTAAGGACACAACCAAGAGTGCAAAAAATAAATGAAGAAATCTCATTCTAAAACCTTTCAGAGACCTTTAACTATGTGCTTATATAAATTTTGTGTGTCTTACATACTTTTTATGTTCCTAATAACATTTACTACATCTTTTAATGCAATTTAAGATAGAACTTGGATGTTTGTAAATAAAAAATATTGGCCAATGTTAAAATTTGTCAAAAGAATATAAATTTGGTCTATATTGGAAGAGATATATGTATGTACTAGTTTTGTGAGATATTTTAGCATTATAGCTACAAAAATTATAATGAGTCAACCTTTACAAACAAAAGACACTTACATTTTATCTCTTTAAATTTATTCAATAGGGAAATAATCGATGTTTATTTTTATTATTTTTACATTATCCATGTGAGTAGAAAAACATTCAACGAATTGTCAATGGTCCCTTGAACGAATGTCCATCAACTTCAAAAACGCCTCATGATTATTCAGGTTCATCAGGTTATTACTCTGAAGCACATCTGTGATAACAACAAATACTACCTAATCTTGAAATCCAAGTAAATAAAGTCATTTGCAAAGCTGGCACATCCACGAAAGGCAACACTGACAGCTGTGGAGCAACCCAAACTTCCAACTGCTCACTTACACAATGGTGATCACAAGATGCACATCAATGTACAATTAAATATTTAATAGTGCAGGATTGAATCCAATTACAAAATCCTGCCCAAGAAGGAACAATGATTTCTAGAGTGATGCTTCAATGCCCTTTCCCACCGAAGCACACAACTCCAAACTTGGAAATACACTAGTAGCTACGTCAACTTGGGAGGAGAAAACTTTTCTTGAGCTCATGTAGTGATACTAAAAGAGAAACTTATATCTAATCCGATTTCAATCCAGAGTAGAGCAGCGAGTCCCTCGTCAAGGGCATCGTAAACATGCAGCAGGTCTGCACCACAAATTACATCGCTAAGAAATTGCATCCATACTTAATTAGCACCACTTGATTCTTATTAATGCATAATCCTTGGATATTTGAAATGATTACAAACCAGACAACTTAACGAATGGACATGACTACATCTGCTGCCATGCAAACAAGTACTTACTATAAAGCCTTCAATCAATCGCACAAAAATGGATGCACAGTAAAGGTAGAAAGGCAAGGCACGACTAACCGAGAGGAGGAGAGCCACAAGCAAAATGATCACAGTAAAGAAAACAACAGCCTGGTTTCCGAGACGCAAGCTCATGTCTTCAGGAGAGGTCTCATTTCCTGAGGTTGGGGCTAAAGCTTGCAGAAACCGAGAACGCCTTTCGGTAGTGGTGATCTCAAAATTATTGGCGCTCTTCGTAAAGGTGAAAACTCCCACAAGTTTATCTGCGACAATGGAGTTGCGACAGTAGAACAATAATTTTACGTATTAGACATACAGACACGATTGTCCCCACGTATAAAAATGTCTAAACTCAAAAATCAAGAGGTTTTCCTCGATAGCCAATAAGTCCATAAAATATCTTACCATTGTAGTTTTCCTGCAAAAACTGTAAAGCTTGGTTCATAGCATGAAGCACAAATTTAGAAGCAAGTTGAGTCTGGTGTCCACTTCCATATTGCTTTCGCAACTCCTAAAATGCACAAAAGCCAACAGTTTATTTAGTCATGGAAAGAACCTTCAGCAGCCGTAAAAATGCCACAGATAATCTAATATACTGAAATGCACAAGCTGCAGGAGCTCCCACTATGAAATGCATAAACTAGAGAGTGTGGAAGCACATGTATGAAAACGAAAGAGCACTGGCTTACTTCAATCCCATTAAAAGTTCCAGAAAATAAATCTGCTGGTCGTTCAAGGTCTACAACTTGGTGTGAAGAGACTGCTCGCTTCATATTTCTGAATAAGCCCATCAACTCTTTGAAGAAAAGTCGGTCGGCACTCTGCACACATGTCGCTGCTTCAATACCCCCAAAAACTGTAGAAACTAACAAAACAATAAGACTGTACCGAGACAAACAAAGAATATGCTACTTGTGAAAATGTGCAGAGGACACAAAAACCTGATCGGATTCTTATGGTTTAAAAAACATTCATTGAACTTACCTTAGACATATCTAGGGAGAAGGATTCGCTGCTGCTTATATCCCATGATATGGTAGCCACTGTTTTAGAGTCCTCGTTCAAGTCGTAGGATGCGCTCATAAACACAAACTCCTGAATGATAGACGAGGCCAAATGCATTACTAACTATGCAATCTGCACTCAACTGTGATTATTTACCGAACGTATCCACGCATCAACTTTCAACAGTTGAATTCATACTGCAATTGAAATCGAAATTGAAAAAAATGTATATATATATATATATAAAAAAAAAAAAATTCAATGAATAAAAGACCTACCCGCTAGCATAGATGATTGAATAATTCTCACTATCAATAATGTCGAAAAAAAAGACTTATACAATATGTAGTGCAAGCACAAAGAAAAGAAGCGAAATAACGATACATAAATCTTACCAAGTCTTGTTCGGATACTTCAGTGTGTATATTAGCAGTATCCAAGTTTGTCAATACCTCTACATTCACATCATCGCCTGACAACATCCAACTCAATGAACAGTAACTGGAAGAACAGAACAAGCTTCGTCTTTTGACTCAATAATAGTAAGCAAAGCTTCCAAAAAAAAACAGATGCATATTGTTGCAGAAATAGAGCATAAAATAAAACCAGTTCACAGAGATGGAAGCAAGAGCTACCAATCGTTTGTCGGAAGTGCGCGTCTTCTGCAATCAAAGGACGAAGCTGGTACGATTCGAGACCAAGAAGGCCCAATGTTCCTTCGTTACTGATTGCATCTGTGCAGAAATAGAAAAGAGAACAAGGTTCCATTATACGATGCTCATGCCATTAGAGCAAAATCTAACTTTAAAAATAACTGTGGGATACTTACCAAAGTCAACTCCACCAATGTTCACTGAAAGAACAGCTCGTGGTCGATGAAATGGATTAGGTGTCACCACAGAATCAATCTGCCCAAGAAAACCAACTTTTCAGGATTGTGATAAAATCATGGTACTACCTTGAGTACTATAAACCTTTCAATACCAACAAATAGACCTGGCTAATTATGATTATCTTTGATTAAAAAATCTTGCTGACGATCAACCACTGCTTCCATTTCTAGTAGGAATTCAGTCGTTCGCAGCACCTCCCAACTATTCATGAGAGTGATCACGCTTTTCTAAAACTTACTCAAATCTTATGATCATCATGAAATAGTGCGCAGAAAACTATAAAATGAAGTATATTATAAAGAGATACCTTGGAGGCAACTTTTTCATCAACAGCTTTTGGGACTACTCCAAGAAGGACTGCCAATGACGTCGCAACATCGTTAAATGAAAACGCCTGCATACATGAACAGGTGATCAAAACCAAAATATTCTCTGTAGACACTGCAAAAATCAACCCACATGCACCGAGAAGCAGCCTTTGGAAAAATCTTTCATACAAGACGAACTGTTCTGGGTTGCACAATTTTGTATATGATTTATCGATATGAAATTACATCTAAACCTACGCTTGGTGAACGTTTAAACTACTTTTCCTTCTAAATGTAATCAGCTAAACCTGCAACCAGGAAGCAGCCATATTTCTTTATTTTTTTAAAAAAAAATTTCAAACTTACTTTTTTACCAATATACTAGGGCTCTTACAGGAGAAGAACACAATACTATGATCGGAACAACCTAAATGGCCATATCCTGATTACTGTGTTCAAAGAAAACACCTCACTCCACAAAACAGACAGCATTGCAATGTAGACATACCTCTTTTTCGATAGGAGGAGTTGTCCTTAAGTGCACTGGCCTGATACTGCTGTCAACAAAGATTACAGCATCATCCGCCTGAAAGATCCACCAAAAAGACTACATTATTCTTCGTGATTCCACTATTTTGCGAAGAAGTATCATTAATTCAACGTTCACCGAATAGAAAATTTCACATGACCTTAAAAATGCCCCAAATCGGGAAACATATTCAAAATACTGGCCATGAGCTGGACCTGTACCGTTCCAAAACTACTGAACGGACACAATTGCTGTACACTAGAATAAAACAAAACAAACAAAAAAATAAAAAAATAAAAAAATAAAAAGCAAACAAAACAAAGCAAACCAAAACAAAAAATGGTATTCCATCAATTTCACACTCGCGCGTGCATCATTCAGTCAAGACGGAACATTTACTTCTCTACGCATAACTCAACGGATGTTGCGTCTTCTAAATACAAATCCGGACTCGTATCAACCTCCCTGATCAGAAATTCATGAAAATTCAAAATCCAGCACTAATAAGGCCTCAACAACAATCTTCTGACGACCAGCTCAGCCTTGTTATTCGGAAAAAGTTGAAATGCATCTCATAAACACACATATCAAAGGACGAACGTTAAGAAACAGCTGGACCACAGAGTAGTCAATTAGCACCAGTGCGACAATCAAAGCTTGGCGAGGGACAGGAAGACACTACTCCCGAATCACATCCTACACCAATTACAGATACAAAGAAAAAAAAAAAAAAAAAAAAAAAAAAAAAAAAAAAAAAAACTAAACTAAACTAAACTAAACTAAACCACGAGCCTTCAGAGAGATATTTGTAAAACGGGGAGAATTCGATCCAGGGGAACAAATTCCAAACTAAGGGTTCCAGGATTCCAAGAACCAGCCCACGCCTCCAGCCTAGGCTCAACATCAAAAGACGAGCACATCCTCAACTGCTTTCAAAACAATCCCCTGCGTGCTGAAACTACTAGAAGCCGCATCACAAGCCCTAAAGGCACATCAGTGTCACGTGAGCAAACTCTTTCCAATGATCTTTTGGATCCATACCTGTGAGGCCGACACAGCAATTAGCCCCACGACCAGCAGAGGCAACAGGTTCAAGAACAAAACGCCATTGCAACGTCTGAACGCCTCCATAGTTGCAAATTGCAGCAACCTCGGAGCTAACCGAGATCGAACCTAATACGCCAGATCTCAAATCACCCCCTGAAATTCTTAGGGCACCCGATTGCGGACAACTGGAGTCTGAGGCCACAAGGTTTCGCCCGAAGAAGCATACAAATAAGCAAAGGGCTCGCCAATAATCCTCTCCGAGCGACCCGCACGGCAACGTCACCGCTGCGACGAGTCCATAAAAGCAGACGGCACAAGCCAACTCTCGGCAAATGTAGTCGATAAACCACTGCGTGTCGCCAAGCTCTGTGTCCAAGCAACGCCGAAGGGTTACCGGTTCAGCCGGTTTCCATGTCTCTAGCCGGTCCGTCGAAGCACACACTAGCGATCGTGTCGAAATGCGAAGTCTCGGCTTAGTAGGGTCAGTAATGGTAGCTAATTGCGTCTTTCTCTCCGAATGCTTGCTCGCCTCCACTGTGAACAAATCGGAGGCATGCTCGGTGGGATTCTTCTTGTTCTTCTCGATCATCGAAATTTGGCACTATGTGTATTCCTTGTTTCAGACATGGAGGGAACCGATCCACCGTCGAGGGGACCTCGGGTTTAGAGAAACATTAATGCTCCCGAAACTGCCACCCTTGTATGTTTCAATTTCTCTAGTGTCAGCATGTCTTTCCTATTCTCTGTCTCTTTCTCTCTCTCTCTCCTTTCATTTCATTGCCTTGGTCACGCAATATTTGTGTAAAATTATCCAGGCTTGTAGGGGGCAGTGATGCTTAAGCATATCAATTTTGCCAACTGAAAAAAAACTGTGCGGGGAGGAACCATCTGCTGCAGAAATAAGAATTGAAATCTTTACTGTTTATGGCAGTTGTTGCAGTTTCTTGATTGGAGGTGCGCAGAGTTGAGTGATGGCTTGTCTCGTTTTCATTGCTAAGAGGGAGAAAACAGCATTAAAGTAATTAGTGCATCCCAATATTGACGAAGAGCGTGAAAAATGAAATTGGCACCCCTGGAGAATCGGTGGTGTCGTGAGATTGCGAAAATGAACCCACTGTATTTCTCTATTCCTTCCTGATTATCTGTGGACTTGATCCATCGTTTTGATAGTCGAGAAGCATTTCTAGTTCACCATAGAAATTTTGCTTTCGCAATGAGGGAGAAAGTTGTAGTTGGTGGGATTATACCTTCTCAACAGGCAGTGAGAACTTGTTGTGAACTTCAGACTTCGGCTTTGAATGGCAATTATAGTTTCATGATGCTAGGAGCTTTAAGCCTCACTGCAAAATCTGCAGACATTCTTAAGCACTGCAGAGTGACACACTTCGAAAAATTCTCCCGCTAATCAAATATTATATACTTCATATATATATATATATATATATATACATTTTTTAAATTTTAAATTTATTTAAAATTGTCACTTTTCAGCTACTATATTTCATTCTAATAGTGAGTTGTGTGTGAAAATTTTGGTTGATTCTTAACAAAAAGGAATACATTGTAAATGTGTTAGCATGAATTCTGTTAAGGTCTGATTAAAAGATTAATCAACATAATAGGGAATGGTAAATAAGATGGATGAAGGAGAAGAAGTTATTGTTAAGGAGATCATGTAATCTTTTTAATTCTTGAGAAAATAGTCTCATATTCTTCAATTCACTATATTTAAGATATTTGGATTTCATAACTTTGTAGTTGATAAGTTTTTGCAAAATCACATTTGTTTAACAAGCAATGGACCTTTGGACTAGTACTTTTTACTAGAAAGAAGGATGTAACAAGGATGTCCATTAGCCTCATATTTATTTATTCAAGTAGGAGAAATTTTAAACCTTGCCATTTAAAAATTTGTTTCAAAAGTTGCACTTCAAGGAATTAATATCTCTTAGAGTTTACATCAACAATATGCAGATGATTATATAATTACAAATAAATTTAATAATGATAATATTTATACTTTGGTAAAGATTTTGAAGTAATTTAACTTAGCTTCTAATCCTAAAATCAATTGGTCTAAATTATGATTCAACTAGCATTTAAAAATATATATTAAAATTAAATTAAACAAATTATTTTGGTTAGACTTAGGTTTCATTAAATAGCATTAGCAAATTATTTAGAACTTCTTTTGGTCTACTTTTTCAAACTCCAAATGTAGACAAAAATTTATTAATCAAATATTTTATCAAAATTAATGTAGCAAGACATGTATCAAGGATATAAACCACTAAAAATTTCTAAAAATGATAATACATTATTATTTTATCAAAAAAGAAAAAACATACAACTAAAAGATAGATATAGAGTTGAAGCTAGAATGCCTATTGCCAAATGCAAAAGAACTAAGAGGTCTTGAACCAAGATACAAGATAAGAAAGGTATTGATAAGAATAAGAGAGGCATTACTCTTCCCTTTATACATAATATCTACTAAGGAAATATGTGGCAATATCCTATGAATCATATAACACGTATCTAACTTGTGTAATATATGTCTAATTTGTAGAATTTTTTTTAACATGTATGCCATATGGCCAACTTGGAATACAAGTAGCTAAATGTGCAACATATAGCCAATTTTTTTGCCAAGTTATCAACATATCAAGTAGTTATAAACACATATAAAGTCTACAAAGCTTTTAAGAAGCTTCCAAATAAGATATCAATATTTTTATTTATTTTTATTTCTTTCTTGTTAGTTGTATTTATTTAAATAAATATATTAGTGAATATGGCTCTTTGTTATAATATGTGGTGATTATAAATAGAATTTTAATTTCTTTTATTATTTCTTTTTAGCTATTTAGGCTTAATTTTTAAAGATATTTTGGAAATTAAAATCCAAAGTTATGAATTTTTTGTAAAAAGTAGAATTTTTTTTTAATTTTTTATATTCCATCAAAATTAAAATATTCCAAGATGGAACTTGTAAACATCTTTAATTTTGCTAGTTTTTTTAAAATATTTTAAATTTTTAGATTTAGTTCTTAGTTTAGATAATTAGTTTCCAATTAACTTATTAATAGGTTTTTAGACAATGGATTGTCACCAAATAGGTTGTAAAGAATCAATTAGTTATTTTCTATATAATAAGAAAATTTTGAATAAGAAGATATATCCCAATTAGAAAGACGTTATTAATCAAGAAAGATTAGAAAATTATTAAAATAATATATCTTTTTTAAAAAATAATAAATTATTTTCTATATTTATATTTATACTTGAAATTCAGGCTATTCTCAAAAAAGACAAACTATGACCAATTGAATTATATCTTAAAGGTTGATATATGTTACATATATTTTTAATTAAATAATATTATAAAGTTAAGAGTGAGTAGTCATTCTATTGGCATTGTGTTAAAGATAAGATACCAATTGGAGTTGATACATGTTATTGATTAATTGGTCCATCAAAGGATAAATATGCTTTATTTTGGAAAAAAAATTAAAATAGATCCAATTGATTTATTATTGCAACTTGAGATTATTGCATGCAAAAAATAAATGACTTTATTATTGAATTACTATAATTATTAGATGATGTGTTTTTTCTTGGATATAAACTAAAAACTTTATTATCAACAATTAAAAGGAATTGTCAAAGACAAGAACTCAAAGAAGATATGTAAATAAGTGAAATATGTATCAAAGAAAGATAAAAAAAAATAGAAATAAGAAAGTATGTATATTGAAGAAGAAATTAGAATGGCTATTGCTAAAGACTAGAAAACTAGAGACTTTTGAAACTAGATTAGAAGCAAGAAAGAAATTGACAAGAGTAAGGAAGCTGTCACTCTTATCTTTATATATACAATCTAATTAGGAGCTACATAGCAACACTCTATAGGACCTTTAATACGTGTCCAACTTACATGACACATGTCTAACTTGCAAGAGAGGTTTTTTATATGTGCACCTCATAGTTAGCTTGTAACACAAGCTACTAATACGTGCAATATGTGGCCAACTTAATGGCCAAGTTTTCAACCTATCAGTCACTTATAAATAAGTATAAAGGTGAAACCATATCTATGAAGCTTTTCAATAAGATATTATCAAATTTATCTATTTTTATCTACTTCTACTTATTCATATTATCTATGTAATTATTATAATAGATACATATGTCCATGACAAGTCTATATATACAAAAAAGAACCAATTCTATTTTTGAGATAAGTCTTAATATTAATTCAATTGGCTTTTAATGATTACTTGAGAGAACTATGTGGAGTTAAGAAGTAGATATTAGAATCAATCATGATGTCTAATGATTAGCTTGGTTGCCATTCCATGGCACTAGTTAGTTAGATTTTAGCAAAAACTAATTGATGTGTAATGATTATTTATTATTGAAAGATGAAATTCATAAATTGTAATTTATACCAATTGATATGAACAATAGATTTAGAATCAAAATAGTCAAATTGTTAATTCAATACTATTAGATTAAATTATTTTTTATTTAATTTCTAATTTAATAGCTTAATTATATTTGACATTCAATTGTATGAAATTTGGTGAAGACCTATTAATAAATATATATATATATATATATATAAACTAATTGTATAAAATTCAATTCAAAGTTTTATACTATGATTAAAACTAATTAATTTAATTTAATTTAAAATTTCATAGACCTTAAAATCTCACATCTTTGTAAATGTAGAAGCGCCAAAGGTAAGCTTTTATAATTAGTCTTAGTATTTGTTTTAAACTTCAATTTATTCTATGATCTAGTAAGTAATCTTGCCTTTAATCCTATTGCATATTCCTAATCATTAAAGGATGAGTTTAAAAGTTTTTTACTAAATCAGAGAAAAAAAAAACTTTTGCAAATGAATTCTCTCACCTTCAATATAACATTACAGAAGTGAAGTGTATTGCTAAACCAAAATTTTCAATTTAATTGGAGTAAGATTTGGCTCAACCCGCTCTCATAAAAAAAACTATGTTTATTTGGTTCTTTTTGCACAAAGATGTTGTAGTCAACACATAGAGATGGAAAGTTATTCCACTTATCAATATGAATCGTGACTTATGCTTGTTACATAAACTTGAATTTATCATTCATTAGAATTGGGAGAATTTGTAAGCCTAGAAAATTTAAGATTGGCCTACATCTCTTCTATATAAATTGACTTCTAATCCTTGGAAATAGAGACCATGACAAGCATTTTCTTAGAAATAAGATATTTTGTGGATAAAATCCTTTCTAAATTCAAATACTTGCAAAAAAATCAGTTGCTACTTTGAGGACTCTTCTTATGGATGATTTGGATTTTAAAAAATAAATTTGTATTTGAACAAGAAGTATGAAGTGACTACTATATTAGAAAAATGATTTGGCAAGGTCTGATAGATTATGGTTAGGTTTGCTAGAAGTCCTTACAAAAGAAGATAGACAAACATCTAAAACAAGAGACAACTCTTTTGAAAAGATGGAATAAGTTCCAGATGGCAAAACAAATAATATATACAAGAAAAGAAAAAAAAATGGTAATTAAATAGGATTTTAGAGTACCATAAAGTAATTTAATGAACAGAAAAATATATTATTTTAAGAAGTAAGTCTACTTGTCCTAAAATGTACTCTTAACTTTGCCAAATTGGATATTAGAGGCTAAGTTGTCTTCTATAACTATTCACCACATCAATGCATTAGATATACTTGTTTTTGTCTAAAATAAATGAATAAAAACATGGTAGAAATCTCCTTAAAATTAAACCTTGTTTTATCCAACTAACTAAAAGAGCAAATTGTCATAATGTAAACTTTAAAGTTTGTTTGTCCATTATTATAAGTTAGAAGACACATACTTTAAATCAAACCAATTTCTAATTTCAAAATAAACTCTTGACATATTTGTGTTTTTTAGAATAAGTATGGTTGTTATCAATAAAACTAAGGCCTTTGTATTAAATCTTCTATCAACTCCTTCTGTTTTATCATTTATGCATCTAGACAATGACATTTTAACGTTTGCACACTGGACAACAAGTTTGTCATAAACTAGTGGGTCATAAATAAAATTGATACTGTATCACCTTAAAATTGGACACATCTCAATTTGTAGTATTTTGCAATGTGGCACACATAAAAATAATAATAATTTTTTCTAAATAAAACTAGAAGTCCCTATATATTTTAACAATTGGATCAAATTGATAACATGTACAAAATAGTTGAGACGTATCATTGCTTGCACAACAGAATAGTATGCTAGCATGACAAAATTTGAGTTGTAGGACTGTTATTTCAGATTTTTCTGATCCTTTTTAGGGTTTCAATTATGATATCACTTTCAGAACTTGAATAACTTCAATCGACCGATGAACTGGGCGACATTATGGACATTTTCCTTCAACTCGACAAAAAGAAAAGCCACAACTAGTTTAAATTATTACAAATGAATGTTTGATGGAGAAATTGAGCATCCAAAATACTTCTCCAACAAAATACCTTCCAGAGAGTGTACTAATCATATGACAGCGGCAATTATTAAAATTAGATTAAATTCTGATTTGGTTTATCCATGTATGAAAAGTTCTGTCGTGAACACGGTTTCATGCATCTGGTAAACTATTCTTGCCTTACGATACAACGTGTAACCTCAAGTGTATTAAAGATGCAACGAAGGAGCGAGTCTCCGGCTACAGAACATTCATTTGAACATCTACACATACCCAACAATTCGGTATGACGATCAACTTTCATGAACACTGTAACACAGTTGGTAGACCTGCAGTAGAAAATGAAATTGATACCTTGAGGTGAAGTATTGGAACCAACAGTGGCACTGAACCATGGCACCACATAACCGCATCTCTCTCATCAGACTCCATTAGTTTCCTAATCCATTAATGTATCGTACACTTGATTTTATGTACATGGGAAGCGTGATCATTGAACCATACGCGGCCGAAGTATCCTAGCATAGGAATTAGATCATGATTAAATAAACGAATTCGGTTTAGTCAGCAGGCGATGCTTGCCATTGGGAATAAATTAAATTTAGTTCAACAGGTATTGTAGGTAAAATTAGATCAGAGACAGTTGTGGTCAACACATACTAAACCATTTAAATTTATGCACTACTCGAACAAATGAAAGATTTCCAAATTCATGCATGAGAAGTATGTGAGGCTATATTCCCTTGAACAAGCTCACATCGACATTACCGTAAAAAACTCAAAAATGTGCCCAAAATACAAGAAAATCAGTGCAAAATTACAGACGCACGAGAAGAGTCCCACAAAAGGAAATAATATTCTGATAGGTGAACACAGAGGCAGGAGGACTAGAAATCGAGGCTACCCCTCACAAGATTAGGTGTCCACATTTGATCTACTCCTCCGCGGACTCAACCTCCTCGGCAGCACCTGTCTGGTTGTGCTTCTTCGCATACCTCTGATTCCTCAGGAACTTAGGGTCCATCTGAATCATCAACACGTTATCTCAATGAGAAAAACAACAGCCGGAGAACGCACACGGCCATGACCTAGGGGAAATCGAGATGGCTAGTTGCTGCTCGGTACGCGCACAGTTCTTAATTGATCATGGAACTATATAAAATCCAATTCATTAAAAAGTACGATACACAGTAAAATTCACAGTGCTTAGAGAAAACTGAAAAACGGCATCGACAAGCCAAGTGGAAACGCTTACCCCCTTCCTTGAGATGTATTTATGCTTCTTAACCTTCTTGATACCATTCTTGTGGTTCTTGTAGGACTGGTTGTGCGCAGTGTGGTTCTTGGACTTCGCCATCTTACCTGCTACAAAACCACAGAAAAATCAGTCAATCAAGACACCGACAGAGGAACAACAACACCAGTCCCTGGGGCCACAGCTGCCACACTAGAAACTATTGCTGCATACAGCCGCCCCTTAACAGCACCCTACCATACCTCGAAATCATGTGCACAAAAGAGACAAGTGACTTCAAAACCAAAACCCTGGAGTGGCACAAAAGCACCTCAAAACTAAGAATGCAAAAACGACTACCGCTATTCCTTAGATGCGGCAACAACGCACCTAAGACGCAGACGAGGCGACTCAAACAATATTACAGTGCGACGCAGAAAAAGGGGTTTGCAAGGAAGAATGGTCACCTGATGAAGGGTTCGCAGGTGCTCCAGCAAGCTCACGAGCAGTCCGGGAAATGAAAGGGCCTGAGCACTCGAAGCCCTAACCCTAAGGGGCCGCGGGCGGAGAAATCCCGGTGATGGGCGTGGCATCGACGGGCATGGGTTCCACGCACGGCATTAACCTCCGTACGTTGACCCTGTAACCGTGCCGTTTTCTCCGTGGGACTTTTTACCGCGTATTCCTCGTTCACACCGGCCATGCAATGGCGTGGTTTTAATATGGGCGAGATAATGAAACTATTGTTTCCTCTTTAATTTGTAATGTCTGTTTTTTCACATGACTACTCTTCTTTGAAGATGAAATATGTCATGACAAAACGGAAATGTAGTATGGACAAAAAATGGAACAGATCATATTTTTTTTGTTTCTTTGTTTGTGAGTAAGTTGAGGGGTTCTAAGTTTTGTTCTTGATTAATAAAGTGCTAAATTTCTTACGAAAAACATTCATGTAAGGAATTAAGCATCAAAATAATAAAAAATAAATAAATTACACAAATTTCACCTTGCATGTCTGTCTTTCAATATTGATGTACAACTTCTAATAACTAGAGTGTGATGTATTTATGAGTTGAGCACTAGGATAATATTTGAGGATTTTAAATCTTACATAATCACCCATGTGCAAATGCACTGTTACTCAAGCAAGTACTATATCAGTGCACAACAAAACAAAATACTGTGTATTGCAACAACAAACTTTGTGTGGCCATAGATGTGAAGTATAAGTGTAAAAATTATAGTTCAAGTTGCAACATTGATTTTGGTAAGAACAGTCAATATATCTGTTGATTGCAATTGCACTATATAGATTGAAAGGATACTTAAACCTGTAGAACATGTGTTTTTTTGTGTATTTACATACACTCATTGAACTTGTTACAAATTAAATATAAACAAACTTAATTATTATATATATATATATATATATATATATATATATTTTTTTTTTGCAGAAGTATTTAGAGGTGAGATTCACAACTAATGATGATAACAACAATAATTGTTATTTTTTGTTACTATTGCTAACTTCTCAAGAATCGAAAATTCAATTAAATTAGTAAAAACAGTTGGAAAAAAAAATGTTAAGTTTAGAAATGCAATGAGATTAAATTTAGATTCTATTGAACAAAATTAATATCACTAATAAAAATTAACACCTCAATCTCCAATCGAAAATGTCTGAGAAATCTTTTTGAATTATTAACAATAATTTTTTCTTGGATTTTCAATGATTATTTAAACACAACAACATGGAAAATTATTGAAAAAAAAAAAAGTTGATGATTTTTTCTTTTCTTTTCTTTTTTAAGCAAAAATACACGTATGTCACAGTTCAAATTATACATGTATAAGCAAAAAAAATGATTCTACAATCTTATTTATGATTATTTAAATCCACAGTAAAATGAATCAATGGGTGATCACAACTACTCAATTCTAGGTAGAATTGGAAGCACCAACAATGGAAGTTACATGGTGCCAACAAGAGCAACAATATCTTTGTTAAATGACATGGCTTTTGATATCAAGAGTTAAAAATCAAAGTGAGAAGTGACGTTTGAATGGTTTAAAATTTAATATACAAAACAATGAAACAAACTTGTAATATCTTTTGTAATTTCATACTTCAAAGCTTTAGATTGTATAACTCGATTAACAAAATTCACATTGACAGAAGAAGAAGAAAAAAAAATATATATATAAAATATAAAATAAAATATAAAATAGAATTTAGGGTGATTGATGAAAGAATCAATTGAAACTAATCATGCGAATGTATTAAGAAAATAAGTTTCAAAAGATTGAAAGGTTTATAAAAAAAATTAGAAAAAACACAAATGTACAAATAAATGAGTTTAGGTTTAATAAAAATGAGATCAGCAACATTGTTAAAATTCATATTTAAACAAGAACACCTCTCCCTTACAATATATGTATATTTCTTTGAATTGTGTATTAGTTAAAGATTTATAAAAAAATTGAAAATAATAATCATACTTTCAAAGGTGCTTAAAAACAATGTGACAAGTAATGTGCGTGTGTGTATGTTTTTCTTTCTTTCTTTTTTCCTTTTTATATTGTTCTGTTTCCTTTTTCTTTCTTTTTTTCTTTCTTTTCTTTCTCTATACAAAAGATGGGAGAGAGGAGATGCTGTAAAGAGGTAGTGTGTAAAGTTTATTTGACTTAGCTGCAGTGTATTGTATATCTTCATACACTTCAATGTGGGCAAGCTTTCACTGAATGATTTACTTTTGTTTGATGAAATAATAATTATTAAAGCTACATTAGCGAGTAATACAGTCTCAATGAAAATATGCTTATCACACAAGTGAATTGAGCATACTTGAAAGCTTATCTTTGAGCAAGCACATGTTTAAAGAAATAAACAACATAAGCACTCAAATTAGGATGAAGAAATACATTATGTGCACATGTAAAAATGATTTTTTCTATACCAAGCAACTAGACAGATCATTGTAACAACATGATCATTCAAAATCTTTGGTAGTCTAAAATAAATTTGTCATAATTTATAGGTTACAAGCAAAAATATAAAAAAATACAAAAATACATAGATGATGTATAAAATTTGAAAAAAAGTGCATGTTAAATATTATTCTAAAAAAACAAAAAATATATATACTTATTAATTTTAAAAAAAAAAAATATAATATGCCAATTGGCAATTACATCTTTCTAATGTATCACCAACATGTGTATGATATTATTAAGAAAATGTTAAATTATTATAAACTTTTATTAAATTGATCAATTTATAAGAAGATCAATTTAATAAAAGTTTATAACAAGTCTTATCATTACACCACCTCTCATCTTTGTTCTCCATTCCCAATCCTTATTCCAAGTTCTCTATTCTCAATCCATGTCCTTTGTTTTTTGTTTTTACTCTCATCTCTTATTACTTGCTCCTAACTTCCATCCTCTACTCCTTGTTTCCAGCCTCCATTCACTATTCTTAGTCTCGTCACATGTTTCTTATTCTCAATCCTTCTCCCATAATCCCAATCTATGTCGATTTTCCATGTTTCTAGTCCTTGTTTCATGTTTTCAACTTTCATCCCCTGTTTCTTGTTTCTAATCCATGTCTCATATTTCTTATTTTCAATTCTCAGCTTATGTTCCATGTTCTATGTTCTCAACCACCATCACCTATTCTTTGTTCCTAGGTATCATCTTATGTTCATATCTCTCATCTTATGTTTCTAATTCTAATTTTATATTTTTTATTTCCAACTTCTATTCTTTTTTTCATGTTTCCAATCTCATCTCATGTTTCTTATTTCCAATTCTCAACCTTCGTCTCATGTTTCTAATCATTGTCTCATATTTCTTATAATTGTCTCATATTTCTAATTATTGTTTCATATTTCTTATCATTGTCTCATATTTCTAATCATCATCTCATGTTTCTAATCATTGTCTCATATTTCTAATTATTGCCTCATGTTTCTTATCATCATCTCATGTTTCTAATCATTATTTCATGTTTCTAATCATCATCTCATGTTTCTAATCTTCATCTCTTATTTCTTATTTCTAATTTTTAATCCCATATCATATTTTTTATTTATAGCTACCAATTTCCATCTCATGTTTTATACTTCAATTCTAAGCTTCCATTTCATGTTCCATATTTCAATCCCTAGCCCCCATCTCATGTTCCATATTTCAATTCTAGCCTCCATCGCATATTCTATATTTCAATTCCTAACTTCTATTTAATATTCCATATTTCAATTCTTAGTCTCTATCTCATATTTCATATTTCAATTCCTAGTCTCCATCTCATATTATATATTTCAATTCCTAGCCTCCAACTCATATTCCATATTTCAATTTCTAGCTTCCATTTCATGTTCCATATTTCAATTCTTAGTCTCCATTTCATATTCCATATTTCAATTCCTAGCTTCTATTTCATGTTCCATATTTCAATTCCTAGTCTCGATCTCATGTTCCATATTTTAATTCCTAGTTTCCATCTCATATTGCATATTTTAATTCCTAGCCTCCATCTCATATTCTATATTTCAATTCCAAGCTTCTATTTCATGTTCTATATTTCAATTCCTAGCCTCCATCTCATATTCCATATTTCAATTCCTAGCCTCCATCTTATGTTCCATATTTCAATTCCTAGCCTCCATCTCATCTTCCATATTTCAATTCTAGGCTTCCAATTTATGTTCCATATTTCAATTCCTAGCCTCTATCTCATATTCAATATTTCAATTCCTATACCTCATCTTATGTTCTATATTTCAATCCTTAGCTCCCATCTCATGTTCCATATTTCAATCCTTAGCTCCCATCTTATGTTCCACATACTTAGCCAATGTCTCTTTATTTCCATTTCCATGTTTTTAAAAGATAAGAACATTCACTATCAACTTCAAGTCTCTCTTTGCCAATGTAATGACCATGTTTTAAGTTATTTGTTGCTCAATTATTAGGAGTGTCAACAAATTGAATAATTGTTTATTTAATGACATGTAACATTTAATTTTGAGACAAAATATAGTGCATCTATCTTATCAAACTTTGTATGTATTATTAAATGTAATGTAATGTTCAATATGAAAAGTCAATAAGATGGTACTTATTAAATACCTTGACTTTCAATTATTATTCAATTCTTATTTTTTCTACCATGGTTTGCATCTTCATATTACCACAAAGATTAGATTGTGCTGAAAATTAAAAATCAAAGCATTAATTTTATTTTCAATGATTTTTTATTTTTTTATTTTAGTTGTATGTAAATCTATAATTAAGTTGTATGATATAATAGATGTTGATGCTTGATGCTTGCTAATCTTATACAATTGAATGTATGTGTTTGAATCAGTTGTGACTTGCACATGTAGTTTCATAGCTTTAAAAATTATACAATTATGTGTCTAAATATTAGTACAGGTTATAATCATATTCTTACTTCTCCAAAAGGCATTAGAGACATTAACACCTTTTAGATGATCAAAAAGCCATCTAAGAGCTACTTGTTCCTAA